AGGAGGGGGACGGGTCCAGGGGGTCCAGACCCCCCCCCCCCTGCTCGCGCAGAAAACGCATTTGAGGGGGTCTAGTTTCTAAAATTTTAGACCCCCCCCCTTCGCGTGATTATCCCCCCCACTCCTCGGTACGGATTTACGCCCCTGCTATCAGTAGCAGTAGTACTGTAGGTATCACAGTAAAGCACATTATTGCGGGTCCTGCTGCACCGCGAGTGAGAAAAAGCTTCCTTTTCAACAGGCGAAATTCGGGCTAACGCTCCATTAGGAGTGTTCCCAACTTTGATAATCATTAATGATTAATGATTAATGATTAATGATTGATAATCCTAACCCTAACCCTAACCCTAACCCTAACCTAAATGACATTAAACCACAAACTAATATATGACCATGACCATATATGGAGTGTCACCCGAAATTCGCACCAAGATTATTATTTGAATGGGAAAATTATATACCATTTCAAAGCTGAATATATAGACTCTTGATTTATGATATTTTCATTAAAATATACCATTCACTCACAGAGCTATTAGACCCTGAACACTCTGCTAGCTGGGCATATATTACGTCTTTCGCCAGCCATTGTGAAAGCCATCGTTGCAAGGGGATATAGCTCTAGTCCCAGGCGCTTTTATGCCGATGTAGTATAATCATTTAGAAAACATAACAGTCACACAGAGCAGGGGCCGGTTTCACGAGGCGTAATTAAGTCCTTAATCATGATTAAATCACTAATCTTGATTAACTTCTCGTACTTAAATTGAAGTGACTGTTTACGAAGCGTAATTAACTTTAATCATGATTAAGTTAATCACAATATTTAATTCTACTCAGGAGCATGATTAAATCCACTAATCATAATTATAGTTGCTAGTTCTGCAGATAAGGTCTATGTCTCTCTGGGTACTGCCGTCCGGTATACCGGAACGTACCCTGGTAACTATCTGATATGGTTAGGGTTAGGGTTAGGGAGTAGGCGTAGGCGACTCCCTAGACTCTTTAGTGGAGTAGGCGAGGTACGGTCCGGCATATTAGATAGTACCAGGGTACGTTCCTGTATACCAGACCGTACCCAGGGTACGTTTCGGCATAGTCCGAGCCAACGCAGACCCCAGTAATGGGGTTAAACCCGCACCCTCAGATTAGCAAAGAGGAGTTATAACGTCTGCGTTTGCGGACAAGTTCCGGCAGTACCCAGGGAGACATAGACCCTACGGGCGCTAGTACTAGTAGTAGTATGTAGGTAGTACTAGTATATTAAGTACGCTGCAGATTTTACAATTCCCAAGGAAATTTAAATGATCTAAGATTAGCTGTACTAATTTAGTCATTATAATTGCAAATTAATTCCTTTTCATGTACCGAATTTGCAGATACTTTTGGCGTTGTCCGCGTGTCGCGTTTTCGTCTGGTTTTTAGCTTTTATTTCATGTGAAATATGTTGGGGTAGGTAATGAAATATTCCTCTAAAATTACGGATAAGAATTTTAATCGGTTATTTTTCTTCGAAACGTCGAACTATTTTTCGTGATTTTCATATCAAAATAAAGAGAATTTAACGAAGAACCTGATAAGCAATGAGCCAATATTCGCCGTGAGATGGCGTAGCAGCGCATAGCGGCTGAATTTAACGTATACGAGAACAGACCACTATTAAATCCTCCATAGGATCCTATACTTGAGAATTGAATTTCAGGAGCTGAAAAATAGTATTTCGACCGTTTTCGGCCGAGTGGCAATATTAAAGCTAGGTAACCATGTACTTCAGCTGTGCACCATGTCGAATGGGGGCCATACATTGAAAGAATTCGTTTTAAATTACCAGTAACCATCCACCCATCTCCATGTGTATGTCATTGCCACACACGATAGCCAGCCTAAATAATGCAACCACAAAACGTCGCGTCAGCTTTAATGGACGAGCTGCCGGCCCTCCGATTGGTCTGCCGATGATGCGTCACATCCTCTAACCTAACAGGGTAACAGAGCATATCAATCAACCATAGTCCATAGTCCATTTCTATATATCTATATATAGCGATAGATGTATATCTATGGTCATACGAACGAAGAATCAACCCAGCGCGGTGCGGTTGCAACATGAGCGCAGCGATGGAAGGTAACGACTGTGCCCGGCAACTCATCAAGCGAGTTGAGCGTCGAAACTAATCACTTCTTTCAAGAAATTAGTTACTATATTTCCTCTACGGTCGTATTTTATTGTTTTAATGATAATATTTTGCAGTTTGGGAAAAATAGAACTATTAGAAGACGAAATGAAAGTGTCAATGACACTGTAGCTCACCACAAAAAAGGACACAAATGAATGAGTGAGAAGAAGTCGGTTTTAATTGAGCAACCATCGACGTACATTATAGAAACGAAGAGTATATATGGGAGAACTCCCATTATATGCATTATTAGTACAGCTGCGTACGTACCTGTTGGCTGGGGCGGCATTGTTTGAAGTACAGGGGGGTAGTGCACGATTGTTTCAGTTGCGTGGGGTGTGTAATACAAGCACAAAGTGAACGGAATCTTCTTTGTTTTTTATTTTTTTATATTAATTTTATGTGCTTGACAAGAAGAGGAAAATGGAACAGTTACCAGCATATCCAGCATCTATATATACTATAATTTGGCTAATCTTGTGTGTGTGTGTGTGTGTGTTTGTTTGTCCTCGCTTTTCGCCCTGATTTGTCACTCAATCGCGCTAACTGAAGATATGTTCAGAATCACCACGTTTGGGAGATGGTTCTGGCTGAAAAAAGAAAGAAAAAAGTTTAAGTAATAAGTCAAAAATTCGAAAAAATGCTATTCGCAATAGAGCAGTGCGGTACAGACCACATCACATACGTGGGAATTATACTGCATCTCTTGACTGCCGTCCGTAGTGTAGTCGGTAGAGCCCCGTTTCATAACCCGAGATTCCTGTGTTCGAGATCTCAACTTGAGAAAAAAATTTCCCTTTAGCTTTTTGAGTCTTTAGTAATGTACTTCTGCCACTTCAGCGTTAATTTCAAAATTTTTTTTTTACTAGCATTCATTTATAAAAAAAATTGTACAGTTTAGAAATTGAAAAAAATTACTTACTATTTTCTTTACTATTATATTATTTACTACTATTATTAGTTATTATATTTTATGTCTTTTATCTTTATATTATTTTTTATTGTTTGCGGATTGGATGCGCGACTGCATGGGATGGGGCGGATGCAGGCCATGGGATCGGGGTCGGATGCGGCATGGATGGATGGATAGATACATTTTGGGGTATTTTCTTCAACCAAGTGGTCACCGTCACCAACTGAGCACCTCTTTCCCCTGCTCACGTATAGAATTGTGCTCTTTGTTTCTTCCCAAAATTTTTTTGTTTCTGTTTTCTTTTCAGTTGCATGAAATATTTAACTTTAACTGTGTCACTTACATGAAGTTTAGATTTTAAGGCACGATTTGGTGGTTGTAGCGGGTATTAAAGTCTGCTAGTATATATTAAAGTTGTTCAGCCGAATTAGTCCGTACTCGCATAACTAGAGAACTCCGCAGTCTAGAGGAAAACTAAAGATATTTTCAGAATCAGCACGTCTGGGAGGTGGTTCTGGCTGAAACAAAAATTTAAAAAAGTTGAAAAGTAAAAAATGGATAAAAATTCTATTCATCAATAGATGGCGGTGCGTACAAATTAACATCACGTGTGAATCCATAGTGTATATCCTTAACGGCACAGTAGCCTAATCGCTAGAACATCCGTCTCCTACACCGGGATTCCGGTTTCGAGTCCCAGCAGGGGAACTTATTTTTCCCTTTTTTCTTTTTTCTACCTTTACCTACCTCTTTAGTATGTATTAATTTTAATTTTTTACTTTTAATTTTTTATTTTTAATGTCTTTTATCTTTTGATTTCTTATTATTTTTTACTGTTTGGGATGGGATGGGATGGGATGGCATGAGATGGCATGCAATGGCATGGCATGGCATGGGATGCGGTGTGATGGGATGGGATATGGGATGGCATGGGATGGGATGGCATGGGATGGGATGGCATGGCATGGCATGGGATGCGATGAGATGGGATGGGATGGGATGGCATGGCATGAAATGGGATGGATGCATAGATGGATGCATGGATAGATAGATAGTTGGATTTTTTTGGGTATATTCCTTTCAACCAAGCGATCACCAACTGAGTAACGCCACTGATTTCCCCGGGCAATGCCGGGTATCCCGCTAATTAAGATGAAATGATAAGAGTTATGAACTCTTAATAGAGTCCTATGTTGCCACCATATGTAAAAAAGTTTGTGCTTGAACTTGAAGAAAATGTGGCAATAAAAAGTCATTTCAACTTTCTATTTCTAATCTAAATCACTGTTTTCGTTTCAATGATTTATTGCAAAAGTCTTAGAAAGAGATATTTGTTATGCACATATAGATCGATGTCCATGTAGCTACTATTCATGACAATGTGTCTTGTTCTCTGACTAGTTCATTTTTTTAAATTCCTTTACACAAGGAATATCGATTTTTGGACATTTTTTAAGATCAGGAAAATAACAAATATAGTTGGACTAGCTGTAAAACCTAGTGCAGATCAATGTACTGGTGAAAATGGAATAGTATTTAAAGTTTTAAGTCTATGGGCAAGTCGAGTGATGAATGGCGTGCATTTTTAAAGTACTTGTTTGTTAAAAATTCACTTGCGCAGCAGTTTAGAGCCATGTTTGGATACAGTTGAAAAAATTACTGGACATTTGTCATGGTCCATATTCACAGAGTCCTTTAAACATACCTATTGCTTGGTCTCCAAAGATTACTTCTGTGTACCGTACGGTTTTGAATTTATGTGGCTTTGAAAATGCATCGAGAACTTGCGCACAACTAGTAAAAATGTGCATTGTTATACGTGACAAAATATGCTTTACAAAGGTTTTCAAAAAATCTTAAACATTTTGCACAACCTGAAAAAAATAGGAGTGTTGTATGCCATAGGTAGTTTAAGATAGCATCAGTTCAATGTCACTGAAGGGTGCATTTCTGATCGAGATATGACTGTGCAAATATCACTGATTATCACATGCGTTAATTTAAACAAAATCGACCCTTTCCCATTACTTTTAAATAAGCATATCTCAAAAAGTATACATTCAAATTTGACAAATGACGTATCAAAATGTTTCTTTTCATGAGCTTTATAATAAAATCTTTATAAAATATTTTATAAAAAGTTTAGAAATTTCGTGCACTTTAAAAATATCACTGTGATATCTACTACTACTAGTAGTAGTAGTAGTAGTTGTAGTGGTAGTAGCAGTAACAGTAGCAGCAGCGACAGTGGCAGCAGCGTGCTTGTGACATTTGTTGTTAATGTGATGTCTACAAGTTTGTCTCTATATTCTGTTTTGCAGATGAAGTAATAGAATCGTATGTAAAAGAGATGCAAAGTTCTGCAGAGAATGTAAGGTAATTTGTTGTTGCTTATCATATGTAAGGATGAATCAATTAATACCCCAGTCACACCAGGGCCCCGATCTCACTACGCTCGTACTACGCTCTAAGAGCGTGGTGAAAACGTGTAGAACGCAGTGTGGACGTATATGGACGTACTGCGATCGTGATCGAGCGCGGTGCAGTCAGCATGAGCGTGGGGAGCGTGGCCAAACTTTGAACATGTTCAAAATAATCGTGGTGCGCGCATGGCGGAAATACAGCGCAGTGCGGGCGTATTAGAGACGTGGAAGGCGTAGTAACCACGTAACTCGAGCATAGTACGAACTTAATGGTCGTATCGCAAGCGTGTCGGGTGCGTGAAAATTGTCGCCCTGTTCTCAGCACGATGTCAATACGTTTTCATACGTTTTAATTTGGGGTGCTACCCTGGCCAGCCCACCAGTTCAGTGTCCACTATGGATAAGGCAACACTACTCCATGCCATGTTTCTCGTAGAAGAACTCGAACTACTTGATTGCCAAGCCCTCATCATGCTGAGGAGGACGAGGAGGAGAAATAGAAGACAACAAAGATCTGCCCCATCTCGGCTGCCTTCTCTCTCCAGAGAAATTCTTTCTTCGTCATGTCTTTGTAGGCTTTCAGCTTCTTGTTGTAGAAGACAGTGTTTTCTGCCAGCCAATCCACCATGCTCTGCTCCTCTTCCTCTGTCAGGAAACTGAATAACTTATTCTTCTTGCCCTTTCTGGCTACACTGGTCTTGCTGGTGACACTCGCAGCGTCGGTGTCTACGTCACTCTCATGGGCCTGCGTGGCTGGAGGCAGGGATTCTTGAGGCTGCTCAGGCTCTGATTCCAGGGCAACACTTGATGCTGATGGAGATAACGGACTACTGCACCTCTTTGGGGTCTTTGCTCGGCCTTTCCCCCTTCCACGGCCTCTCCCCTTGTCTTTTGGCGGCATAGTTGTGTCCGTAGAAAATAATCTTGATGTTAATAATCTTGATTTAAATAATCTTGATTTAAGTTGATAATGTTGATCTTACAGTGAGTGATACATGTTACAGTGATACATGTTGATCTTACAGTGTAGTGACCTCCCGGTCAGTGGTCGTACATTGTCGTGACGTACGCGTTTAATATGGGAAATTCAAAGTAAACTGAATTAACAACACTGGCCACACATAAATATTCATCATCGAACAATAATAATGTGCACGTACGACATACACACGCACAGGTACAGATCTTATACACATTTCATCAACATATTCAGTACATTTTGATGATAAAACCTAGACAGGTATTTGACTTAGTGGTATCTGACTATGATGCTA